AAATAAATCAGTTAATCTGAGGAAAGCAGAGATTTGGAAAGTGTGTTTTCTGAATATACAAACCTGACTTTTTCCTTGTGACATTTAGCCAAAGCTTTGCAGAGACTTGGATCAGGGCAGAGATCGAGAGGGGACTGACCCTTCTTGTTACGAATGCCGAGGTCAGCTCCGTTGGCTGCCAGGAAGCACGCAATAGATGCAGCACTCTTCTTCTCTGCTCCTTGAGTGCCAAGTCCCATTATTAACTGAAAGAAAACAAATAGGTAAGCAAGAAAGACTCTCTAAACAGTTAAGAATCATCTGGCTAMAGGAAAGCTACTTCACATGCACACATATGCATAAATCTGTAAGCCCAAGGAAGCGTCTCTAGAACTAAAATCAAAACAATTGCCTCATTCTGGGTCAGCTATACTCAGCTTTCCTTTAAGGAACTAAAATTCAGCAAGGAATAGTTCAACTACCAAAGCAGTCTATGTCCTGCACACCTATACTCACGTGTGAAGTGACTGTCCTTCTATGAAAGCACTGTAAAGGGCAAAGTTCCAGTGGGTATATTCAGAACACACTTCGGTATATTCAAATTGCTGAGTTCAGACAAAATGCTACCACCGCACTTGGACTGAAAACACAGTTGAGCAGAGAAGTAAATGCATGCCTATTTTTAGTCTAGCAAAGTGAAGTACCTGCCCAAGAAAATAACTGAATTTCAGTCTTTCTCAGCCTGGATGGATTAAAACTCACACACTGTCCCGGCTCTCTAATCACATAACACTACTTTGCCCTCTTACAGCTGTTACTGTACCCTTGGGTTACAGGGTCAGCTAGAAACAAAGAAGGCTCACTACCACAGCCCAGCAAGGAGAGGATTACCCCACTCCACATCATTCTGGGCCTGGTCCCAACATCTTTTTCTATTAAAGGTTGATCAGATAAAATGCATTAAGCAWAACACAGATTACCCATAACACAGAACTGCTGGCATCACCAAGAATTCCTCAGCAAACTACACTACACTGTATTCAAAGGRAGAGCCTGGGCACAGCTAGGGAAGCTCCAACTCAAGAAAACCCAGTTGCCTAGGGAAATMTTTTTTTTAAACCTCAGTCTATTTATTTTTTTTTTTTTATATCAATATGTTTCACTGAGGCTACAAGACTCTTGAAGGGCACTTTAAGAATTCAGACACTCATCCTGAATTCTTCCTTATGATTAGGTAAGAACAGCACAGCTCCAAAGGCTTCATACCAGGAAAATCAGTAAGTTACAGAAACAAATTGTTTTGAGGTGTTCAGACAACAGAAATTTTTCATTTATCGAGACCATTTTTCTGTACTTCAATTACAACATTGGTTGAAACAAAGCACAGATTTTTATCGAGCTTCACTCCTGGTACTTTGGACCACGTTATTAATCCAGCCAAGGCAGCACAACACCCAGGGAAACTGATTTGCTACAAGGTTGGCAGAGTAACCACAAAACAATCATCCACATTAGTCACAAAAATCTTACATCCTAAAATGCCTCTGCATGYTGTATGATTTGAAAACACCAGGCCAACATTGCATCCTATGATATTTCTCAGGAAGCCTGCAACTTTTCAGGCACAAARAATGAGAATACCACAAAAACAACCCAYGCACAAAATATTCCCCAGTATGTCTCAGTGTCCAGTATGGCTGCAGCAAGCTACCTCTGGAGGGGGCTAGCCCTGAAATGCATTAACACGKCCACTCCCAGCCAATGCACCAGAGGGAGAAATCTCAGTGTAACTCACAAAAAACGCGTAAATATCATCTGAGTAACTGTAAGGGGAGCWGTGAACACCTTCCATTAGTTTCTTGCAAGTTAGGATTTATGCAGTGGCATCACTTAAAAGCATTTTAAGGGTCAGAAAGACACCTATATTAAAATAAATTACTTTAAACGACCCTGGGAATAATACATTTGTTTAGGATAAAAAGTACTCCAGGCCAGAACACTGCATCTGTAATAAAGCAAATCAAATTACTTTTTTGTGGTCRTGGAGACTATACTTCAGAAAATTTCTCCTCCTCCCAGCTGTACAATCACAATATGCTGGGTGGAAAACTTCAAAATTATTTAAAGGAATAGGGCTCACTGCTCACAGTACTTGAGCACAGAAATGTTTTTCAGAATGTTATCTAAAATGAGAAGGGCTTTGTGTACTACCGAGATTGTTCACTATATGCATTTTAARTAAGTCTAGCAAAAAATAAACAGAAGAAAACCTGACAAAAATTGTTTTAAATATAACAGAAAATATCCTGAGATGGAAGGAATTCACAAGGATCATCAAGTTCAATTCCTGCCCCTACACAGGACAGCCCCAAGAGTCGCACTGGGTGCCAGACAGCATTGTCCAAAAGCTTCCTGAACTCTGGCAGGCTTGGTGCTATCACACTTCCCTGGGAACCCTGTTCCAACAGGCTTAATGTTGGCATTCAGAAGGAATGAAACTACTAAAAAAAAAAATCAACTTTAAAGAATTCATTCCATATGGTTCCACTTACGAAGTTCATGATAATCAGTAAAAAATAGTTTCATATTTTAAACAAAATGACAAAAGTAAAAAGTAATAAATAGCAGAATTTCAATGAGTTGCTGCCCAACCAACTTGATCAAACACAAAAAAACTCTAAAATCCTACTAGAAAAATTTTTCTTTTTCAGTGTATTCAACTGAAACACAAATAGAAATAATTATTTGTTGAAGTACTACAATGAGGCACCCTACAGGTCTCAGTAGGTTGGAATCTCCAAGACAGCAGTCCAAAGTTAATTAAAGTTTAGCCAAGCAAAAATGAGCTCTAAAATACTAAATATTTACAGACGTGCTTTGCTGTCACATAGCCTAATGAATCTGACACATTTCCCAACCTTTAAAGGAATTAATGAAGAATAATAAAAAAACTCCAAAAACAAAAACCTCAATTTAAGTCATCACATTTGCAAAAAGAAATTACTGATTCCTAAGCTAAATTATTAATCCTATTTATCCTCTATTATCTGTCACCTGTATTTGCAATTCAACACGAGACAAATTACCAATGTGTCCTTGTATAGCTTTAAAGGTCCAGATGTCTTTCGAAACTTCGATTCTGTCTTTGTTTGATACTCARTTTTGGGCCAAATATGGTTTAATATTTAAAACTGTTCATTGGCAAAATACAGTTTATAGAATTTTTACGTTTTATTTAAATAATGGTAGGTAGGTACTGGGATTGTTCTCATTTACCGTTTTTCACAAAACATTTTCAGGATAGTTTGCTTTGCTGATCATCTTAAAGAGTTTTCAGGTATATTTACTCCATCTTTTACACTTCACATAAAATAAARCAAGAAAGTTTTCACCTTTTCTCTGAGGGAACTTATCTTCTCCACACCAATTAAACCTCCCAAATTCGTTGGATAGAAAAATTTTCTCTGGAGCTAAACTAAGTGCAAAGAAATGACTAGTAGTCCAATCACACTAATAAAGGAGAGGAGGTATTGGCTGATCATATTTTTTTTTAAACTTTAAAACATTTTTAGGTGATCAGAGATACAATGATGAGGGAATTTTTTTTCTTTGTTTCTCATGRTAACTTTTGCCTACCCATTCTCTTATTACTTCAATAGAAATAAAAAAAMCCCAAAATTACACTTTTGTTTCAAACCAAGGACACTTGTCAAATGAAACTAAAATAAAACTTAATTCYCCAAAACATAAAATCTCCCTAAAGAGAAGTCTAAAAAGGTGATGGAAAAAAAAACGCTGCTTCTTGGGTTAAAACCTTCAAAACTCAACACAACTCTAGTTTTATTCCAGATGCTATTAGTAAGATTAGGCAGAGAAAACAATTTATGAAATGCTGAATCTGAAGGAAAAAAAAAATTCATCTCTCTTTCACTAATTTCACAGCTAAATATATGAACACAAAGTACTCTGGCCACTTCTGAGAGTCCATTTCAGATCATGGAAATAACTGAGCTGTAACTGCTCTTCTTTCTCATTTAAAAGGACACAAGAATTTTCTTATATGCCAGTCATATTTTAAATCTCTTTCAAAGCATATTCCAGTGTATTTCAGTGAGATTAAGCAACCAGTTTAAAAAAAATCTGTTGTAGAGTGGAATTACTGTTTTGTACAAGGGCTTTTAAYGAAGTTGGCATGTTTGTTTTTTCTTAATGGAATGTAAAACCACCACCATCAGTTAAAATCAGTAAAGATATTATACAGATAACAAATGGTTCAGCAGACTCGATACACCATTACGTTGTGCTTCTTTAATACATTAAAAAAAATTGGTTTGTTTTTCTCAATCCAAATTGCTCCAGAATTGTATTTCTCCTTTGAGTTAAACTATAARCTTCACCTTGGCATATGGGTGCACAGCTTTTTGGTGTGAGAGTTTCTTATTTTCAGTARAACATTCTGACCTTTATTACCTGCAGGTTTTTTAACTATTTCCTTACTACAGCACACTTTCTGAAATGAACTCTGTCAATAAGACACATTATCAATAAACATACAGAATTAATTGTTCAAACGGAATGCACTTTCAGAAAGTTATAGAAGCAACTAACAATAGACTGTACAGACATGCAAGAAAAAACACAGAAAACTATTTCAGTCTTATTCTGTACTGTAATACTGTTTAGTTCTCTTTCCAAAAAGTCTACTTTGATTTTTTGGCAGCCATATATGTTCAATGTGGAAGAGAGATCTGCAGAAATATTTTTGAACTAAATAACCCTATTTTTCTTTAACAAAGATAATGACTTCATGTCATTAAAAGCCACAAATAACAAAATTGKTTTTGCCTACAYTGCAGTTTAATGCAGAATGTCTACATAAACTTATTCTGCCAAAAACCAGTGAAACAGTACAGAACTAGACAAACTAGACAGAGACAAACATGCAGGGGAAAAAAAGGAATAAATAAAATKGTTTTATTTACTGTGTTCTTTGATGGCTCCCAAGCTGTATCTACCTTGCCCACATCTTGCATGTCTTGGAGCTGGCGGAGCTGGGACAGGGTGTGATGTCTCAGGGCTTCATGCAGGGGAGTATCCCCATCTTTATCCTGAATATCCAATTTAGCACCTGCACGGACTAGGAGCTGAAAGGAAAGAACCCAAATTAAATCAAGCAAGAAAACCCCTATTTACTCCTCCCATATGGTTTAGGATAATCTTGAGGGTTCAAAAGGGCTACTCTTTTATCTTGCTACAATTCAGACTTGAGTTTATTTAAATTTATTTTCCATACCTGGAGGTCAGCCCTCAACCAAKGCATTTATCTCTTTCATCTATCAAGCTTATTTCAGCAGAAGCCTAATGCTTGCCTGTGCTCTATGTGCTGCAAGTGACACAACTGTAGAGGATTCTTTCTTCTTTCTAAGACTTTAAGTCTTGTAAGGCATCCTACAAACAAAGTATTACAGCAGTATGTGCAATACTTCAGATATGCATATATTCTTTACTGTTAGGTTTCAATGACCTCAATGACCACTTCCATACCATGCTAAATTTTACAACTTAATTTGCAGTGTCCTCCTATCAGCAAAGTAGTCAATTATGTACTTAGGTTTACCCCAATTCAGCAGAAGACATAAAAACCAATGACACTATTAAAAACTCTCTCAGAACACTTTGGAAAGTAATGGACTGCAAGACTCRTCTGTAAGGCTAATTTTAGACACCCATTCCTGGTCACATGCTACAAAACAAGCATAAGGCTGCACAGGCCCTCCTATTGCWATGGCCTTTGCATACAGCCCTTCCATAATTCAATCCACCAGAACTGTCTTAAATACGCTGTTAAACAAAACAAATCAACACATGCTGACAAATACCAAATGCCCCTAAAAATTAAACCCTGTCACTGTTGCCATTCAGAAACCTGTAGGCAGCAGCTGAGGTTTTAACTTTCGTTTTGAACTTTTGCTACTCAGCAAAATTGGGATTAGCAGCAGAGACAAAAGGCATAATCTAAAAACAGGAATACATGAAGAGGGATCTCCCCCTTTGGAACCCGCATGCTTGCAAGCAGCGCAGCCTCTCAGAATCAAAGAATCTCAGACTTTAGAACAGGCTAAAAGGAAAATAGCTTAAAAGGAATTCAAAGCCTGTTTTGCTCAACAAAGTATCTGCCTGCAATTATTTGCAGCTTACCATTTTCCCCAACCTTTTCCTCCAGAAGTGAAACCAAGAAAACTAGCTAGTGGTTGAGATAGTCTAGTCTCAACTTTTTGCACTCTCTAAATGGATTTACTCTGGCTCAATTTATTTTCCCATATTCATATCTTGTGTCTGCCACTAGCTCTTCACTGCTTAGAGTTTCTCCTGGAATTCTTGACTAACATGGAACTTCAGAGTTTGCACAAGTTAAAAAAAAATTAAAAAGCAAACTACTACACTTTGTCATGGCAATAGGGCTTTTAGAAGAACCCTGCTACCTTTGACCACTATTCCACAAATGCCTGAGGGTACAAACCCAGCCCTGGAAGGTATCCAACAGGAATTAATTTTGAAATATGGAGCCAACATGTTCTTTGCATGGCTGCATGAGCTATTTTAGGACTTCTTAAAGTTAATCCAGCTCTGAAAAACAGATACTCTACAGGGTCATTCACTTAAACATTCTCAGATGTAAGCATGTCAATCCAATACACATGCTAGTTCTTCTACATGCCCACCTTCCTGCTCATCTGCTACATTAATATTGTATTCCCAGGTACTTTGTTCWTTCCAGAAGGGCACAAGAGTTCACCAAACAGCTGCCAAATAGTTTGCAGGATGCAAGTGACACTGACTCTAGGAAACGGTTCTTCTGGTAGCAAGCAGTTCCAGATATAGGGCCGTATCACATGTTTCACTGTAATGGGATCACACCCATCAGCCCTCAGAGAGGGAGCAACCTTATGGTAAAATAACACTTAACAGTACACAGGTCTGCACAGCAGGGACAATTCTCTGCAGGCTTGAATAAGAGACAGTCTTTCATGTAAGATGACTCTACAAAGACTAAAAAATTATGCCAAAGGCCAAGGCCAGGTTGGTGTATCCACTCTAAGAGCAGTGAGTGCTCCCTGAGCCTCCAAAGGCTACACTAGCAAGGCAAACAGACACATAGGTCCTGTATGACAGTACACACAGGCCAGATATGGCAAGCTATGCCGGACTACCATTTCCTGTGCTAGCAACAAAGCTTTGTTAAATTGAAGTATTAACTTTTGCAACCATGCAAGTAAAAAAAAAAAAAAGATAGCATTCCTTTCACCAGTAAGGTACTACTGTTACTGCTTGTAGCTCTCCCAAGCTAAGGGCAGGGAATTTTAAACATTCAGAGACTGAAAAGTAGTTAAGGTCATAAAAATACGTTTTGTGTTGCAATTTGCAAAAGCTATGAGCAAGAGTAATTACTCATACAGCAAGAGGCACMAAAAATGCTATTTGAAGGTCCCTTTACAGCACCACAAGACTCAGACAAGTAACAGCAGAACACATTCTTCCTTACTCAGCTAGGAAGGAGGCTGGATTGGCAATCACACAGAGGAAGCCATAATGTACAGTACAAAAATTTAGCATTCCTGAAGTGTCATTCATATTGCTAACTGACCTTCTGTGCAAATTGGCAGGCTTCTGAATTAAACAAAATGCATCAACAAACATGCAGTGACTACATGTTGTCAAATAATTTCTAAATGTTCACGAAGTATTCATATTTTAACAGCTGCCATSAGCTTTAGTCAAATGCCATTAACCATATGGCTTACTGCAAATAAGATACTTACCCTAACAATTTGTGTATGCTGTCGTTCAACAGCAAGATGCAGAGCAGTTTGCTGGTTGACGTTCTGGATATCCAAGTTAGCATTGCCCTGCAAGATATTCAAAGCATTAGAGCATTATCATCGCAGCAATTCATCTACAGGCAAGGCAATCCATTAGGACACTGACTATGACCCTGAATATGATTTCTAGTTAGGGGATTTGAGAACATAAGTGATTAAATACTTTAATTATTCACTGTACAGATGTTAATCTGTTGAATGAAACTAGGTATCAAATTTTTCAGTCCCTCTGCGCCATTAGGCCATTGTGACAATCTCAAAGGCAAGTTTGACCTTTAGAGCTCAACACGTCCTTCCCTGCTCCACTGCTTCTGCATTGCRACTGCAGGCATAAAGCAGCCAACTATTTTCACATCAGATGGTCAACCAAAGCATGACATTTAAATCCTCCTGAGACAAGAGTCCTACCTGATGCACCAGAAGTTCAGCCACTTCCACATGATTATTGAGAGCTGCCAGATGCAAAGCAGTGTAACCATCATCTTTTTTCTCGTCAACAATCCACGGTCGTGGTAACTTAGACAACAACACACGCATTGCACTGAAAAAAGCATACAGAGACGACATAAACACCCTACAATGTATGCTGCATGACAACAGTAGAACAGGATTATTTCTCATAACTATGCAGTAGTAGCTTAAATAACTTTAACATTTTTCCAAACAGAGAAAGTGGGTGAAAAGCTATATCAACAGCTCCAAAGCACAATAATTTCATGTTCACTTCCTCCTAGTTAGAGCACACAAATAAACCATACAATGCTTGGAACAGTGTGAGGATTTGGTTTGCTTTTTACTATTTCGCAGTAAAAATTAACTTTAAAAGGTATTCAAACAAATTCTGAAATACAGACAAAAGAATTTTCTCCCTCAAAATATTTACAGCATCCTTTACTTAAGTATTTAATGACCAAGTTCCACCACATTACATTTCTTTAAAATCATCACTTTATAAACTGATGCCATGGGCTGTAACAGTTAAAACTCAGTTTCTGAGAAAAAAAATGGAGCAACATTTCTAAAGCACAGACAAAATAAATACTGAAACTGTAAAGGAAGTAGTAGTAGGGTATTTTCTTAACATACAATGGTTGAGTCTAACACCATGGCAGTGTCTAGCAGTTGGGGAAGAGGGTGGGGGAAAGCAACTTAATTAGTGCAAGTATTAAAGAAGACTAAAATCCATGAAGTCCAAAGACTGAAGTGTTAAGGATATAAACAAGACAATGCTAGATAAATTGCTCARTCTTGTATTCTCTGAGAAATACAGTTTTCTAAAGCTTACATGTCTTCACTTAGCTTTTGGAATACATAAGTTACCAAACTTAAATCCCTTATTGTCTTAATCTTTATAAACAGCATATGCAGCTCCCTTATGACAGTTCCTTAAAGACAAACAGAAAACCAGAAACAGCTACAATCCTGTGCCARGAAACTTCCGTCATCTGATGTTTCCCTACTGTTGAAGGAACATGCTATCTACAGGAGAAACAGAGCTTCTGYACAAAATTCAAACTTTCAAAATCCAAGTAATACTTGCTAATGCAAGTGGAATTGCTCACACAGTGCCTTGCAAGGCAGATAATGTATCTGAATTAAACAGTTCTTCATTAGACTTCTGATCTGAAAAACGTGGGATCTCAATAATCCTCAGAAACAGCCTCATAAATTAAGTCTCTCAGCTTTTATCTAAATATACTCTCAATAGGTATGAATGACTGCCCTGTCAAGTAATAACTCAGCTCCCAGTTCATTCCAATCATCTGTCACCTTGAACATCCACACTGAGGTGAAGTGCTATTCACTCTTAAGCTCTCTTTTAGAGCAAGCCAATGATCTTCCTATAAAAACCCAAAAAGCTGTGTCTGGGCACAAGGCCCTAATAAGCCCTCCTGGAAAGCCAAAGAGTCTGTGATGTAGACTACTACACCAGAAAGGAAGTGCACTCCTTCCTGCACACTGTTCATCTCCACATTCTTCTGCGACTGAGCATGCAATACAAATCCTTGGTTTCACACTTGAACTCAATCCTGGCAGCTGCAGCATAAGTGACATTTCCCCCCCCCCCCCAGAATTAGCGTCTAAAGGATCCACAACTAACCAATTGCATCTTCAGGTCATGGGACCRTACAAGCCCACAGAAGAACTGTTATGTGGAACATCCATAGCCAGGCTGTTCTCAATGTTTGTCCTCCTCAGAGTGGACAGAATTCATTCTCAGCCTCTTAGGATTTTTTGTTTTCCTGGCAGAAAGCTTCTCACTTCCTCACAGTCCAAATCACTTATAACACAGCCACGTAAGACAACAACACTTAACAGATTGTACATTGCTCATTGTGAGCCATTGCTCAGCTTCTATTCATAACGCCTTCTAAAGCTCTCTCACGTGCTAGGAAGAAAAGACTAGAATATTTCAGAAAAAAACAAACAATGGTAAAATTAATTCTTGTAGAGATTCACTAATGCAGAATTTTTCAAAATTAAGGATATAATTTAGTATAACTCAAATTACCAAAGCTTTATGAAATGTGGCAAAATAARCCAGTATTAGTTGCACTGATAAACACAGTTTATTTTGTAATGAAATTATGCTGTATTTTCCAATGTTGGCACCATCAGAACTGTGTTTAGCTAGTTTAGGAAAGAAGCAAGTCTGGAGCACTAGTTTGCTTGGTATCTGGGCACACCACCATATCTCTTCAGAATGCTGGGATGACACAGAGAACATGGTACCACAGCACAACAAGCCTTCTACAGCGACTTCCCTGAGGGCATCATGTTGTGTAAGCTCTTTATCTTCACCTGTCAGGCTCAGTGCTTCTAAAGACTCCACAAAACTCTTGRGTACCTACTGTGGRTCTTCTAAAAAACACAGTTTAAAAATTCCTGAAAATTTCCTATGACTGCCAGAAGCAATATGACAGAAGCAGTATTGTGCATGACCAGGAAATGATGGGGCAACAATAACCTAATAAAAAAAAACCACAAGRTTTTTCTTAAAACTGCAACGACAACTTGAGGAACACTATGTGAGGGCATCAACACTTAACTCTAATTACAGGCAGCTTGTCTCCAATGTAGTTCTAGTCACTAAATAAGAAACTGTCCTAGCCAACTCAATGACATTTTATATCTTTCTCTTCAGTAAGGAAGTAAGAAAATTGACAACTCCACAAATAAAATTTGAAGTACATTGACACACTTGGAACAGATGCCTAGGTAAGAGAATATATTTCAGAAATACTGTGGACATTTCTTTAACACACCTCATCTTTGAAAGAAAAATAAGAAACCAATTTACTCAGTATTTTGTATGATATGAAGGAAAATCACTCATCCTAATACTTGTGTGACTGTTAGCCTTACCAGATCCTCTATCAAATCTTTTCCTATTTAGTTTGCTGTCTTATACCAGGAAAATCTTTATCTGAAGTTGGACTGAAAAATACTTGGGGGTATCTTGCTTTCAGATAAATGCCTGATACATTTTTGGACGCTTTTAAGATGTATTGGTCTTACTGGAAAAACAAAAGAACCATCAACACAAATAAATGGCTTCTATGTGGAATAGATTTTTATCTTACKGTTCATAGCAAAGCATCAAAGGGACAGAAAACACTACTCAGTTTTTTTTCTTTTATTCAAAAAAAGATCCTCTCTTTCAGATCATGCTACATTACTGGACAGCAACACAGAAGGACTGTTTCATGGAATGACACCTCAAACTTCTGCAAGATATTAATATGCTACAATGGTAAATTCAGCTCAGTGGCTGCATCCTCCTCCTCATTATATGAGAGGTAGTTTCTTTCAATTTTTGCACGATTTTCTAGAGCTGTTGACAAATTTTTGACAGCTAAGTGGCTACCATTCAGAGCAGCACTCACTGGAATAGAATACATTCCATCACAAAAAGTGATATTAGTGAATTAATGTTGCAAATTACACAGTAATTCTTGATTCACTCTTCCCCATGAAGTATTATAGAAGAAGCAGGGTTGTATTGCTCTGTTTTTAAGACAACAACATAGATGTGAAAACTTGCTTTTATCTTGTATATATCAAACAGACAACAGACTGCTTTCACTGCAGTAGTATTGAAAAGATCAAGAAATCAGCAAATCTATCAGTAACCCTGATCATGAAAGCAGCTAAATTCAAACTATCATCTTAAGTGTATTCAACTGTAATAGATTACATGGCTGACTGAGGAGTGGCAATTATTGATGAAATGCTTAAAAGTCCTTAYTGAAAGACTGAACTTATGCCATCACTATGTTATTTAGTGTATTATTACTAGCAGATTATTACTAAAGCATCACCAATAAACAAATTTGTAACAAGTAAGCTTTGGTCTGCAGTACTTGTTGGTCTGCAGTAATTTCAGCTTAGCAGGAMAAGATTTTGGGTCTTTTTTAGCTGAATGACTACTTGCAACTTCTGAAAATTTCTAATGGAACAACAAAGGAAAAACTTCAGTGAGAATTTTTGAAGGTGTTACCTCTGTCTCAGCCCCCTATACATAGAGGAGCTTTCTTACTCCTTTTTGACTGAGCAGGTGTTTAGCTCCTGTAAAAGAAGCAATAGTTTATTCATAACTGTTAAAGCTCTACAGGTATCTGYTGCTTTCCCAGGCACAGCTGTTGGGGGTACAGTGGCTTATATTGCCCAACATAATTCATCCTCACGAAATGACAATCCAGACTAATAGTTAAAAGTGATTTGGTAGAAGGAACATCCATCAATACGGTGCCACTTTTAATTTGGGATGTAAAAGAGTAACAGCAAATGCTGCTGTCATGTGCATCTATATTTGACCTTACTACACAAGTAATAATTTTTTTTTTCCTTTTTAAATTCAGGTTTTTAGAGAGTCTGGAACCACACTTAATATTGTTTGGGTTGGAAGACGCCTCACAGATCATCTCATTCCAGCCCTCTTGCCATGGAAATTCAGGAACATGAACTGTATATTTGCAACATAAGATGCACCACAGATCTGAACAATACACTAATTCAATTTTAGCCACCAACATTACATATACCAATGTGTATATACCAAAATAAAGAACACTCTTAGAAAGAACATTTCATTCTTAACATGAAATGTTAGCATACAGTATATTATTCATTACCAACCTACATATAGAATGTTGGGGTTTATGCTGTACGTTGCTCACAAGATTTTTACAGATGCTCATCTGCACTAAGAATACAACATACAATAACAGACTTATTTGGAAAATCTACARGATAAAAGTACTTATAAATAAGATGAAGCTAGCATCTCATTGAATAAAAACAATTCCAGATTTAGTAGTCTCAACTGCAAAGGCATCCTTACACCCTGTTTAAAAAAAARCTGAAGATTCTCTGCCATTAACTGCAATTTGACTGCAGAATGAGGCAAATGAGGAAGGCCTAGGGTTTGTGGGATAACAGTGGGGTAGATTTGTTTGTTTGGCCTTTCAGGATTGGCTTGTTAAGGTTCAGAATTGGCTTGTTAAGGTTCTTTTAAAAACAGATACTTAGGCACAAAAA